TAAGCTGAGACATTTGCAAAAGTTAGCTTCAGATGTTCTGTCACATCGTGCTGATGGTGTCGGTGCCCATGCACGTCGCTACATTTTTGTTTGTTTGGATTTTTAAAAACTTGTTTCTCTTTTGGCTGTTGACTTGGTGTTGGGGAAACATTGCTTGGAATATTATGTTGCCTTTAAAATCGGGTTTTCTTTCATTTTTCACTAGTGACACACCTTTAATTTTTTTTTTAGCTTAACGATGCACTCAGTAAAGCCACGGCAGCTGAATATCTCACGAATTGATGAACTGAGAAAGGCTGGAATTATGAACTAGGTTTAGATGAGGTAGAGATCAAATTAGGGTGAGATAGTAAACTGAGTTGAAGTGAGATAGTGGAAAGTTGATGTTGTTATTTCAGTTGGGATGAAATGGTAGTGTAAATTGCCTGAGTTACTTGAGATTGTTACATCTGCAAGGGTAAGAGAACAGCTTTATTGTACAGTAAATTAAGCTCAACAATATGTTGATTTCCGTCGGAATAGATAATGTTTTGAGTTAAGATGTGAAATATTTCAAATAAGGGTAAGCCAATGAACCAAGTACCAGTAAAATTGCAAATATTATACAGGATAAGATATTTTCTCCAATTCAGCCGTAATGTTAACTTTTTCAGTGGAGTGGGGGGGGGGGGGGGGGGGGGGTTACTGTTACCGTTTTCACTCTCTTAACCCTCTTTTAGGTACAGAAAGATCATTTCCAAAGTGGGGCATTTGTCCCAAGCAGTAAATGTGAGGAAGAAAAAAGAGGGTAAGAAAAATAATACTTTGAAGGATATGTACTCCTCAGCTTTTGTCAGTGCAGCCTTTTTTATGTTTTGATTTTAAATATGTTTAATTTTGAAAAGCTGTTGTTTACTTTGAATGATGAGCTCTTTTTTCCCTCAGATGCGGGCAGCGGTTTTCATTCAAGAACATACATATGAATTAAGCCTCTGAGTGAGAATGTCCCCCTTTTTTGCGCCTAATCAGTGATCAGTAAAATTTTTTGTCTCTTCCCCAGCATTTTAAAGACACTTTTGGCTGAGCTGATTGAAAAGACGGTGGAAAATCCAAAAGTTCATCCAAAGTTATTGTTACGAAGGTATGATATATTTGTGCTGAAGTTTGAAAAATATATTTACATTTTTATCGATTAATTGAATAATGAACTGTTGGTTTATAGTTCGGATAATATCCATCTTACGAATACGTTCTTCTTTTTCTAAGGATTCAGGAATAATTTTTACATGCATATTTCTTTTTAGTTTTACACCCAAAAGTATGAGAGTGGTTTAAAATTTATGGTTTATCAGTTTTTCACGATCCTTTGTGGATGTAGTTACAAATGTGTAGTACTGTACCTGCCTCACTGGAGACTTTTCGAATACCAAGTAAAGATGTGAGAAGAGGTGTGTTTGTTTTGAGATTATTTTTATAGACGGGGGGGTTATGACGGCAAGAAATGTTAAGTTCCTCTAGTCCCATGATGATGAGTCTCTCTACATATGATCTTTCTGATTATACAGTCAGTGTTCGATGACTATGAAATAACAGTACAAAATGTGTGTATTCATCTCTTTTTGCAGGAACGAGTCAGTGGCTGAGAAAATGTTAACAAACTGGTTTACATTCCTGTTGTACAAATTTTTGAAGGTAAAGTCTACGCTACTTACTTTTGTTGAAAAATGATATGGCAATTTTAGTTTATTCAAATATTTTTCTACCACCGTCCTTTTTTAAGAATGCTTTGAAAAAAAACTGATAATTAATACATTTTCAAAAATTTTGTTTCAAAGATGTGAAAAATGATATGGCATTTAGTTTATTAAAGAGAAGAAAAGAAGGATGATGTATACAGATCGCCCTTTAAACATGAGGAATTTCAAAGAGGTTCAATTTCAGCATCATGAGGTTCAATTTCAGCATCATGAACTTGATTGAATGTAATGACTCGGCCAACAGCAAAAAAATGTTTTTTGGCCGTCTGATGTTTTAGTGTGTCTACTGGCCTGGCTTCCAGGGTATACTTTATTTCATTTTTTGGAACTGCATGTGTTGATGGGCGATTGAACTCAATCATGCTGTATATCCTCATCATATACCAATGTGCATAAGATAGGGAGAGGTCGTCTGTTATTATTATCATGTTGACATGGCACCCTGAATTATGTCCATTTTCATGTCACTTATTACTGTTGGAGATTATACATAGCTCTTGGAATGAGCACTTTAAGGGTTCATTGCTGATATAAACACAGCTGATTTTTTGTGGATGGGCTAAGAGGTTTGCATTTTCCAGCTGTTTTTAATATTACTTTATCAAGCTGACTCTCTTTATACTATCCCATAGCTGAACATTTTCTGTTTTAAAGGGGTTTGTTTTCCCTCCTTGTGTGAAGCTGTTTTTCTTATTCAGTTGTTTCTCCTTGGTCTTTTTCTTCCTTCCTTCTTTCTTATATTGTTTCTCCTGTATATGTGTTTTTGGTGGGTGCTCTTGTGTGGTTTGCTCCTCCTTCCTATCAAACATCTATCGTCCTTATCTCCCCTTCTTCTTTTTTAAAATTTGTTACTCTCTTGTAATACCTCTATTCTTCGGCACTTACATGACCTTAATGTGCTGCAAGTGCCGTAAAACATAAAACGGCCACAAATTGTCAAGGAGAAGAATGGCTATCGTAGACCGGTGAACGTCTTATTTTATACAGTGTCGTTATAAGGTAAAATATATGTTGGGAGGAATAGGAGGTGGCCGTTTGTGCAAGTGCAGTAAAACTCCCTCTAAAACTTTCTACTGTTTGTTCCACCACCAGGACTGTGCCGGTGAGCCACTGTTCATGCTCTACGGTGCCATCAAGCAGCAGGTGTCCAAGGGCCCGGTGGACGCCGTCACCAGCGAGGCCAGATACTCGCTCAGCGAGGACAAGCTCATCAGACAGCAGATCAACTTTAGGTCTATGGTGCGTACACAAAGAATGACCGTAGATGATGGTAACGACTACTATTGCATATAGACGTATCTCAAAGGCCGCCAAAAATGACTTACGTCTGTATGCAGTACTGCCCGCTGGTCACTTTACAGAAGTGCCAAATAAATTTCTGGACCCTGAAATTGTCAGTTCGCCAATTGTTACGAAGTTGCTTTTTATATAAACACAACCACATTTACGAGACGTATTGGACAAGATAAGGCATAAATTTTGAGTTCCCGAGCCTGCTTAATATCTTTGAAATGTAATTTTTTATTAGTTTTATCTTTTGATCTAAATCACTCCTGGTTATGTAAAAAATGGATAATTGTTCGCAGGGAAAAGTTTGTCGACATAGTACCCGGATGAGCTCATCTAGTGCTTTACATTTTGACTGGGAGAAGGGAGGAGATGAGTTGCTATTGCCCCATTAGCGCAGTTTTTGAAATCCCAACTCCTTGTAATGTTGTTTGTTTTTTTTAACCAATAGTTTTTTTCAGCAGTTTCATATACCTTGTTCAAAATGTCAGTCGTAATAGGCCCTCTTCACTTCTGTCTCCGTACTGGCTTCTGTGGTGTAATGTAGACCCCTCACTATTGGATACAGAAGGCATGAGTTCAATTCTGGGGTGGGGAAGTTTTTTTAATAGAGTATCTCTGTCTGTGTGCTGCAATGTATCTCACTCAACTAAGCCTGTCCCTGGTCAAAGCAGCCCATCTCCTAAAATAGATAGTGTTGATGGCAACATAAAGGACCCACGTTACCTGCTTCCACTGCTGTCCAACAGCTGCTTCAAGTGATGGACGTGGATGTGGACCGGTGCCCGCAGCCCGCCCACCCAGTCAAGGTGCTAGACTGTGACAGCATCTCCCAGGTCAAAGAGAAGATCTTAGACGCCATTTTTAAGTCGGCACCCTTCGGCAGCCGCCCTCCAAAGGAAGAGTTGGACCTGGGTAAGTGAAAATGATGACTGGTTTTTGTTTGTTTGTTACAGAAGTCATTATTTTGGGAGGACAAAGTAAGTATGTCTCTACAACTTTTCAACTTTTTTGTTGAAAAAGTGTTTCTGCCCCCAATATTGGCAGCAGGCCAATGTCAAAACTTTTACTTGGACCTGGGCTTAGCGTACTCTAATGCTGTGATCTGGCCTGGCTATGTTGCAGGTGCTCCAGCAGGGGAAACCCCCCCCCCCCCTCCAAGGCTTCTTCAAATCCTAATATTTGAAGTAATTAGTAATGGCTGTTTTTGTTTTTCCCTCGAATACAAATTATGCTTCTTATAATATCTTCTATAAAATTGCTGCTCCAAGATGATTCTACATTAGTTCCATACTATAGGCACTTCAGCTGTAATTCAATAACATTGTTCATTATATGTTAGTCTATAACTCATTTGCAGATGAAATTCTTATATGTCTATCACAAATGTTCGTATGAAGACTGTAGTGTCTTCACCAACTGAGTAATGTCATCATCATCGTCATCATCATTGTCGTCATTTATATATATATATTTGTATCAGTGAGACTGCTTTGTCATCATTATCGTCATTGTCCACATCATATGTCGCCTCACATTTTCCTTTTTTCCAAGTCCTCTGTTTCATCTTTGCCCCCTCTTTTGTTCTCACACTTCGCTCTTTTTTTTTTTAGACACTTGAGTTCCCAATTTTTTTTCCTGTAAGACAGTTTAGTTTTTTGTTTGTGTTCCTTTATCAATATTGTTTTCCGCGTTGTATTTGTTTATTTTCAAGTTTACTTGTCAGCTTTAGCTGATCCTAATTTCCTGTACTGCCGGCTTTGTTTTCTATTCGCCTTTGATTTCTAGACGAACGTTTTTATTTTCTTATTTGTTGATTTCTATCTTTTTTTTTCTCGATTTATTCAGTATCGCAGGTATACTTTTGCATTTATAGCTCATGTATTCCATCATGAAATATATTTACGCTTATTCAAATGTTTTGAGATTATTTTTTTTCTCGGGCGATCTGTTTTTCCCCCTTTTCCCCACGAACGAGACGGTTGGACCAGCTTTTATTTGAATCTTTGTTCTCCGGATTTCGAATCTTGTAAAGTCCCTCTTTCCTCATGGTTTACTTTTTTTTTTATTTTTTAGGGGGGGGGTCGAAGTTTTTGTGTGTACTGTTGGCAGACTTAGAAGAGTTGTTTTCTTCTCATGACTCTTGTTGTTACTGCAACTATGGCAACGCCGTGAGAGGTAAAACCTTCTACAGAGATTTTTTCTATCAGTTCTTTTTTTGTGTGTTCCTCGATTGATTTTCCGCCGTGATTGTTTTATATAGTGTGTCCTTTCCAAAATTAGATCGGTTTAGCGAGGCAAGACGTCCATAACACAGCTGAAGTTTGGTGCATTGACACTAGTAGGCAAAAGTTTCCACTGAAACCTGCAGCAAAACATAAGCCAGTGGGCACAGAAATGTAATATTCTTATCTGTAGTTTGGCTCCCTATTTGTTGAATTTGAAGAGGTGAAAGATTTGCCTACTAGTCTGCTCCGGACTTTGAGTGTGAGCGGGCGGGGTTGGGAATGGTGCAGTAGGTAGAGAGCTTACATCATTCTGCAGTGTGTGGAAGGCCGAAAGCAACGACTGTCTAAAAGTTGCGACTGAAAGTAGAGATCAGTCTCCCCCGAGCGTCTAGATTCCTATTCTGCCTGTTTTGTAGTGCTAGCATAGCCAGCCATACGTAGTACATATTATTATATAGATAATATGTGGGACTTTGCTACTTTCCCAAGACTTTGAGTGTTTTTTTCTTACCGCATGTTCCTCTGTACTTGTGGGTGTCTGGTTTCATGTCTGCTGCTTCAGCTTAACATTGGCTATGCAGTCTATGTGTTTTTACAATGTCCCATTAATAGCAAGCTAATATTTTGCTTTTCACTTATGTAGAATGCTTAGAATGGTTTTGTGCTCTCTTTCCGTTGTATGTCTGTGTGTTTTTTTCGTGAGTTTTTTTTTATTCAGGGTTGGGGGCGG